GGGTCAAAAAAAAAAAAAAGCTAAAAAAACACAATAGATAAGCGCACATGTGCAGACATATATGTCATGCGGAACACACACGTGTACGTGACGCAACAGAGCTTCATGATCTGATTTTTTGGACAAAAAACTTGAAAAAAGGGGAAAAAAAAACTCCATCAAAACGTCCAAAAATTCAGAAGTGTAGAACTAGTGTCTTTTTTGGGTTTGTTCAACTTTTTTGGGGTTTCCCCATTTTCGCACAGGAAAAAGCATTAACAAAAATACAAGTCAAGTCAAGTCAAAAAAAAAAAAAAAAAAAAAAGGGCATGTGCTGTCCTGTCGTACGTATTCTGTATCACACAACCAATAGCTCGTTTTTCTCCGATGATCTGAAATCAAATTGCTATAAAAATTCAAAAAATTCTTAAAAAATTAATAATGGAAGGCCACCCTCACTAGAGACAGACTCTCTATTGGGAGGGAGGGTGATGTGTGGCAGGAGAGAGGGATTGACGGCGGATACGAGCGGGGCAGAGCTCTGCTTTTCCCGGCGAGGTGCAGAATTCCGGTGGCCGCTCGCAGTTGAAGCTTTTTTATTCGAATTGTTGTATTTTGCCCTGGGCACTGGGGCCGCGGAGAATAAAAAGCCACCATTCCTGACAAAAAAAAAAACCAACAAAACAAAGAAAAGAAAAATTTTAATTAATAAATTAGCAGACGCTAAAATATCGCAACTTCCGAAACTTGCTCCGACCGTCCACCCCTCTTAAGAAGTATCGTGACGTCAGACTTTCGCTTATCGTTAGTCTGTCTCTGGGCATATAGCATGGCTACAGCGGGGACCCAGACACCAGACCCAGACAACAGACCGATCCAGACAGTCGCTCGGGCCTCTGTCTGGAATCTGGATGGATCCAGATCGTCCCCGGATTGATACCCCTCCACCTCCCCTAGAAAAAAAAAGAAGAAAAAAAGTTTTTTTTTTTTTTTTTTTTTCCTCTTCTTATTTAGCCACGAATTTCGATATGATCCTCAGCCAGAAGATTTTTCTAGTGCACTGCTGCATAACATATCTTTTTCTCAGTTTTTTAAAAACTTTTTTATGTTTTTTTCTTTTTTCTTTTTTTCTTTTTTGGAAGTCCGATGCTTTTTTTCCGGAGGAGTGGCAGGGGTAGGGGGGGTTGTGGAAGATCCGTATGCTCCAAACTGGACACCAGACCCAGATATCCCGACCCAGACTGTCGGCACTGCGATCTGGACGTCTGGATTGTAGCCATGGGCCATACCCACACGAGGACTTCTTGTCTACTAAGAAGCTCCCGGACATCATTGCAGTCAGATTCATCCAGCTCTGGCTCTAATTGCAGTCGGATACATTTTGTAAAGTGCGAGTGTGAGTACACCTTCAGGCTGAGTGCAGTTGGGTTCTTTGTTCCAGGGCCCACCCATCTTCATAATCCACGGTCCGAAATGAAGAGTCCAGGTACATAGGGCTCGCCTCAGTTCAGGAGAGAGGCTCGGAACACGGAGAGAAATGTAAAAAAAAAAAAAAAAAACAAAAAAAAACATCCATCAGAAGAAGCCTCTTCTTAAAACACAAATTTATTTTCCTAAGAAAAAAAAATCATATTCCTGCCACAAAAGCATGCTCACAAATGATTCTGGAATCTGATGAATGAAGCCGGCCACCTGCTCCACCTCTCTCTCCTCCCACAAACCACCCACTCACTTTCCCACCACCCAGGTCAGGAGTGCGGCCCGGAACACAGCGAGAAATGTCAAAAAAAAAAAATAAAAAAAAATCGCTCACACATGATGATATGCTGAACGAACTGATGAACATAATTTCTTTTTTTTTCAAGTCTTGAAGTTGTTGGCTGACATGAGCAGTTCATAATTCCGGGATGAAAAGAGTGAAAACACGAAAAGTGTGAAAACGTGAAAGGCGTGAACTTAAAAGTTGGTGTTGACACGAAGAGACCCCGACGACAACTGAAAAATTCTAAGTTCTGACACCCCGTCGCCTACTAGGAGGAGGAGGAACATTCCGGGTAACATTCACAAAAAAAATATTCGCGCAGAACTTACGACGACCTGCAGAAGTCAGAAGAGTGATATTCGTGCAACAAGGTCACAGCATTTAGTCGTCAGCTATCACATAACACTTGTTGTCTATGTGGAATAGCTATAGTATGTGGAATAGCTATAGGACTTCCGGGCAAGGCCAACAGCGACTATGGGCACTATCTGGAACCGTCAGACGAGGCCAGTATATCTGGAACCGTCAGACGAGGCCAGTATATCTGGAACCGTCAGACGAGGCCAGTATATCCGGAACCATCAGACGAGGCCAGTATATCCGGAACCGTCAGACGAGGCCAGGAGCCCAGCAGCAGTTGCCAAAGTACAATAGCTGAGGCGCGCGACATCTGTCGACTAAGTACAATAGCCGACAGCAGAGAGACAAAGCTGGGTCCTGCAGGAGTTGACTAAGTACAATAGCTGAAGCTAGACATCTCCTGAGGTAAGTACAATAGCTGGGACAGCCAGAAAATAGGCACACCACAGCAATTGACCAAGTACAATAGCTGAGGCAGTTGACATCTGTTGACTAAGTACTATAGCCAACAATAGACGCGATTATTTGCAATAGCTGGGACTGGCACACAAGGCCAGAAAACTCCCACAGCAATTGACAAAGTACAATAGCTGAGGCTAGGTAGACATCTGCTGACTAAGTACTATAGCCAACAATAGGCGACAAACCCAACAATGACTATGGGCAAAAATAGCTGGGACCGCCACACAAGGCCTGCAGCAGTTGCCTAAGCACAATAGCTGAGGCTAGACATCTCTCAACCGAGTACAATAGCTGACGTCAGCCATCTCTGTACCTGCAGCAGTTGCTTAAGTACAATAGCTGAGGCGAGACCTCTCACGACTAAGTACAATAGCCGATAGACCTCTCACGACTAAGTACAATAGCCGACGACAGACATCTCTGTACTGGAAGAGAGGACAAGGTCAACTAAGTACGGTTGACGACAACAACCAGCTACGCATAATATGGCCCACGTCTGTCAGCTATAGCCTGCAAAATTCTGGCGCGAGGGTGTGGACCATCCTCGATTGTGAGGAACGGGTGTGCGTAACCCCCCCCCCCCCCACCCCACACACCTCCACCACCAAAAATGCTACTTGCCAAGCCTGTCAACGAAGCAAGAATAGGCCAAGGACTTCGCAACGAAAGCGGCTCAAGAAAAAGGTCACCGACATACAAGAGACCGACAAAGTGGACTACGCAAATTTACCCCACACTCGTCCGCACTAGCCGCCCACGCCGGGTAAACCAAGGCCGTCGACTAGTACAAAAGTCGGTGCCAAAAGCCGGTTCCAGGTGGAGAACTCCAGAGACCAGGTACATACCAGATCATTCTGCTGTACTGCTGTACCTCTACGAGTGAATAGCCATCTGCCGATGTGCTCCTGTCCAGTACAAAACCACATAGATGGCTATTCAATAGGCAGGCAAGATTGCTGAGTGCAATCGGCCACCGGATAGCCAACTATTGTTATGCTCCTGGTGAGTGCAAAAACACCTAGCCGGCTATTGAATAGACCGCCAGATCATTCCGCTGTACTGCTGCTGTACCTCTACGAGCGAATAGCCATCTATTGCTGTGCTCCTGTCGAGTACAAAACCACATAGATGACTATTCAATAGGAGGGGCAAGATTGCTGTGCGCAATCGGCCATCGGATAGCAAACTATTGTTGTGCTCCTGGTGAGTACCACAACGCCTAGCCGGCTATTGAATAGCAGAGCCAGATTGCCAAGTGCGTTTGACTTCTGCATAGCCAGCTATTGCTGTGCTCTTGTCAAGTGCACAACCACATAGCCGGCTACTCCATCGCCAGGCAGGATTGTAGAATGCATTTGACCATTGAATAGTCAGTGCAGATTACAACCAAACTCCTGAACAATGGAGAGGCAGGATTGCTTAGGTCCATTTGAAACACCGAATAGCCAGCTATTGCTTTCCCCTCCTCTCGAGTACAAACCCGCATAGCCGGCTATTCAATAGCCAGGCAAGATTGCAGAGCGCATTTCACTATCAAATAGCCATATGCTCCTGCAACCTAACCCATAAACAATCGACCATCCAAAGGGACACTAATTGACTATTGAATACGGCAACCATAGATGACTAGTGAAGCCGTCATTCAATCAATCAGCCACCACCATCCAATCAATCAGCCACCGCCGTCCAATCAATCATCCAGCTAAGTACTAGGGATGGCTACTTTCTGTGCTCTTCCGATCACCAAGAGTAGATAGGAGCCAAACCGTCTAACAACAACGTGCCAATTGTTATGTTGGTATACCAGACATGCAAAGCAGCCCAGTACGACCGTACAATGCGTACATCGGTCTGCAAACTTTTAGACGAGTCGACAAATCTACAAGATGGTGGTTTACCAACTCGAGCACACAAACTAGTGCATCAGATACCCAATACTAACCTTGCCACGGCTCAACCTTTCCACTCTATCGAAGGCAATCTTGCAGCGTGGCGGTCAATCGCAAATACGACCCCGCAAGTTGTCCAACTTTGCAAGTCGGCGGCCGACCATCGAATACTACCCTACAAGTTCTACAGCCCTCTTCTTCCACGGTAAGTTAGCGATTGTACCACCCTCTGCGTTGAGCCTGCTGCTATATCACATAAGACCCCACAACTCTGCAACTCAGCGACCAAAATTTTCCGTCGAATATAAGTCCACAACCCCCTCTTACTCCACGAGTCCACGGCAAGCTACCAGCTACACCACCCTCGACGTTGAGCTTATCGCATATGACCCCTAAACTCAAGGGGCAATCACCAAATATGACCCCACAAATTCATATAATATCACAGTGTGATTCAGTGGTCAATTATCAAATCTGACCCTGTGACTTCGTGGTCAATTCTCAAATCTGACCCTGTGACTTGGTAGTCAATTATCAAATCTGACCCTGTGACTTAGTGGTCAATTCTCAAATATGACCCTGTGACTCGTAGTGTCAAAAAACATAGCCAGGTACACGATGCCATTGTGCAGGGCATCAGGCAGCCGGCTTCAATGTCAAGGAGAAACAAAGACGATAGACAGCTGATTAAACCAACAGTACCTCCACGTTCTTAGGCCGTTAACGCGGTGCCCCAGTCGGTGCGCCGCACGGGTCCATATGCATTTGCGTCAGAGCCGCCCCAGAGGGGGCCTAAGACCCCCTGGGGTACTGGTGGTTTAACTTGTCAATCAATTCCACCACCCACCCAAAGGATTGTCAGACCATCTGAAGGATTGATGACCTGCAAGAGCAGCTGAGTTACAAACGAAGGATCTCCTCCCTTTTTTTAACCGTCGTACTCGGCACCATCCTTTGCGTCATCCATTATCAGGCGAAGTGCTTTCTGTCCTACTGACTCAATCCTCAATCTTTGAAAGCAGCCAACCGACGTCTGTGGCATACAAACTGCCAATGCTCTGCAACTCCCTGCTCCGCTGTGAACGGATCATCCGAAGAACACGATGACCGCTCTCAAATAGGAACGCACTGTGGTCCCTACGGAGACCTCAGAACCTTTCCGGAGAGTTGGGACTCTGTGCCATCCACATTTTCCCTCTCCTCTGGCTGATGGATCCCAGCTCCACCAGCCAAATAATGCTCCACTGAATATTTCCTCTCCTCTGTCACATCCATTTCTCCTCAGAGTACACCAGGCCTCCACTAAATTTTATGTCAATCGAAGACCACACTTGATGTGGAGAAAGTAGCAAACTGGGAGTCCATGCCGAAGCACTTGTTAGGGGTCTGTGTGTGTGTGTGAGTGTGCGTGTGTGTGTGTGTGTGTGTGTGTGTGTGAGAGAGAGAGAGAGAGAGAGAGAGAGA